AAGGGTAACTGATGTGATACAGCAATTTGTATACGGGGTAAAAGCGGGAGTTCATAATCCACTTGAATCAAACCATGTAATATGATGTATTAAGAACTATGTAATGTTATGAACGACCAATAAAAAAAAAAGAAGTAAATACAAATGTGATAAAAAATAAAATGGAAGAATAACTATAACTTAATACATGTTAGGAAAGTGGGAGGATATTCTGTAGAAAATAAATTTCACACATTTCAGATGAGATGATGAGATTTTTTTGGGGGAAGGGGATACTAGAGATTGAACTCAGGTGCATTTGATCACTGAGCCATATCCCCAGCCCTGTTTTGTATTTTATTTAGAGACAGGATCTCACTGAGTTTCTTAGCGCCTCATATTTGCTAAGGCGCACTTTGAACTCAAGATCCTCCTGCCTCAGCCTCCTGAGCCAGAGATAAATTTTTTAAATATAAAAAGCTGACAAAATACTTTATTCATTTATTCATGGCTTACCTTAATTTGCAGTCCCTTAATTCTTGAGTAGCATTATAATAAACATATTTATCTTTTGAGATAAGTCCTCTTACAGTTTTAAAGTCATTGTTCAGATTTCAAAGTAGCAACATTCCACTGCTTAAAAAATTGTTTCCCTTGTGAACAGGGGAGTTAAGTTGAATAGAAATAGAGATAGTTATCAGCATCTACTAGAAATTCTGTAGCTGTGGATTTTCTTGTTAAGATAGATGGCCATTTCCATGCGCATTCCAGAATCCATATTGTTTTGGAAATACTTTGACCTATGTGTTATTGTACAGTGTTAGCTTTGTCTTTTAGTTTTTTTTTTTTCTGTTATCACCTTATTCTTTTTGTTTCCTAATTTTAACTGAGTGATTCTTCTGTTTTCTTATAAAAATCCCAGATTAAAGGGAATTTTTTTTCTTTTTTTTTTTTTTCCTGTTTCTCATCCACTTCTCTTCCTGTGTGGTTCCAGTCATATTTTTTGTCATCATCCTAATTTATTTACTTTGGCCACAACATCTAGGCAAAGTTAATGTGATTATTTCACTTCATACTTCGCTATCTCTATCTTATTTACTAATAACAAATTTATAGTTCCATATGTAATTTAATTCTTGATATTGTATAGCTCTTTTAAATGTCTTAATAGTACATTATTAATCTTCAATATTTGCTCTCTGAACCAAGCAATGATTTAAAGAGGCTGCATTAGTTAAGTGTCTGTTATTGAAAGGAAGTTACTGATGATGCTTGATAAGATTCCTTATTTCAAAACTTTGTTCATTTATTGATTTTATAAGTACTTATAGCATGTCAGGCTCTGTTCTGGACACAAGCATGTAGCTGAATACAAAGTAGGGAACTTTGTGCTTTATTGAATTTCCATTCTACTGGAGAGAGCAGATGGTGTAAATATACAAACAGCTGTAGAAAGTATATAGTAGGTTAGATTGTGGCATGTGCTGTAGAGGAAAATAAAACAGATATAGGGACTAGGGAAATATTAGGGAAGTGTTTGAAATTTTAAATGAGTAGACAGGGAAGGTTTAACTGAGATGATGGTGGTTTTTCTTAAGCCCTGTGGCTATTCTATTCTTCCTGAACTCATTGCCATTGTGCTCTTTTTACATAAAAAGTTGGTCATCTTATACTGAGATCAATCTTATTTTAGAAGTAGAGAAAACTGATTGTTCTACCTCCATGCATAGTGATTAGGAACACTTTTCCATATGTCATTTTTGCATATTTCTTATTTTCATAATGGTGTGAACATATACTGTTGACAAAGTGAAGAGCATTACTCTCTGTGTGGATTGATCTTCTCTACGTGGGGTTCTGTATGTTCCTAGCTATTGGAACTCTTCAGCTTCTGGCTCTCACCTGGCTGCACAAAGGCTTCCATTCCCAATTACTGGCCACTGCTGGTATGGAGTACCACTCAGTGTGTCCTATGGCATTTGGAATGAAAGGTCAGAAAGGTATCCCTTCCTTAAAGTCTTTTTAAGACTTTCAAATTTAAATCATACATTATCTAAAGACCTAGATGTTAAGCATAATCAATATGGATAAAAATGCTCACTCTTCATCCCATATGTAATTAGTACAGAAAGATTATTAGAATACACAAAGAATGTTGCTTTGTAAAGTATATACAGTGCTGTGTTTACAGTCTGCATGAAACTTTAAAATACATTTATATATAGTAGTATGTGTTTGAATTTTCAAATAGCTTCCTGTTTAAAAGTTTGTAGTATTCCTGGCTGGTATGTGGTTTTTCAGTTGGTATTATCTTCTGATTAGGGTTTTCATTTTTCTGTTATAAAAGTGCAGTATACTGCAATTATAGGTTTTCTGTTTTCTTTTACAGGTGTAGTATATTTAAATTATATTTATTGACCTTAGGCAACTTACTTAAATTAGGTTACAATACTCGTCTATTAATGAATATTAGTACCATCTTAATAGGATTATGATTGAGAATTTTTTTTAAGTTGCATTGTATTTGGGCCATAGGAAGCACTCAAATACTTTTTTCTTATTTATGATTCTAGGGAGGCATATTTTTCTCTGCTCTTTTTTATGTTTAAATTATTATCACATTTTGCTGATCCATCTAATATGTAATTGCTACTTTCTAATGAATATTTTAATGGTTTTTTGTTACTAGAATTCTATAATAATCATTTAGTAATTTATAAAAATCATTAGTTGTTTTCTCATCTGTTTGTATGCCTGATCAGAAAGCATTTAAATTTATTATTTATTTTTTTTTTAATTACAGGTAGATGCCACTGAAAGTGAACCAAAGAGTTTTATCTTTATGAGTGATGATGCTTTGACAAATCCACAGAAACTGATGGTTTTAATTCATGGTAGTGGTGTTGTCAGGGCAGGTCAGTGGGCTAGAAGGCTTATTATAAATGAAGATCTGGACAGTGGCACACAGATACCTTTTATTAAGAGAGCTGTGGATGTAAGTGCAATTTCCTTTTATTTTTGGCATTTTACAGTTCTTTTTTGTTGTGTGTTTGAAACTATTGTGTCATGTAACTTCAAAAAGTATATACTAAGTGTAATATTATCTTCAAATTGTTGTTTTTTTTCTTATATGATGATTATTCTGTGTTATTTTGCAGTTAGAAGAAAAACAGTATGTTGGACACACATAGATTTAAGTGTCTTGGGAACAAATATTTTCTTATTCTAAATTTTAAAATTATATGGGCTATTAGTTAAACTATCAAATATTCATCTTTATTGAAAATACTTATGCAAAAAATGTCAAAATTGCTTTTGTAAATTTTTGTGTACCTAATTTAGTGAAGTGAAAAACTTCTTGTTCTTTAAATGAAAAGTTGAAATAACTTAGGAATTTTTGTCCTTTATTTAACATAAGTCTTTGGAGACCATAAATAAAATGCTTTAAGCATAAAATGAATGTATAAAATGGTAAACTTTTAGGTTTATTGAATATTTTATTCTTACTCAAATTCAAACTCTTAAAATTTGGCATATTAAAATTGTGTTCAAGATTTTCTTTCCTGTGATATAGTGAAATTTCTTTTTGACCCAGCATTATTCAGCTACTCTTGTTTTACTTTTTCATTAAGTTCTGCAGTGAACGGCCAAGTATGGGTTTCTTTCACAGTGTGAATGAGAATCTTCCTTAGAAAAAAGAAGTAAAGTGACATCTCGTATACAAATTTTAATATAAAATGGCAAAACTAAATGGGATAGTGTATGTGTTTATATATGCTTTATTTGCTTTATAATTAAAATCAAAAAGGCCCCTTGGATACATGAACAATTACAAAAATTAAATGTTCTGTATTCTGCTGACTTTCAAATGATACTATCAAGTCTCAGTCCAACTCCTAAAGAATATTTTTCCTAATAAAATTGTTGGAACCCTTAAAATGCTGGAAGTTGAATTTCTTAGATTAATTGTATTTTTTTCCTGGTTTTCTTGAATATATGAAGAAAACAAAGATGTTACTTTTGGTTTGGTTGCTAATTTCAGTAGTATAGAATTGAAGTAACTATATTCAATTAATAAATTGAAATTTAGATTGAAGTAACTCACATAAAATGTTATATTTTAAGCTGTTTCATACTTTAGGTTATGAATAATGAAATGAACCTTTTCTCTGACATGTTAATTTGTGGTTTGAACAGATCTTGCTTATGTATTTTAGGAAGAATATTAAACTCAAAAATGTGTGCACAAGTAACTATTTAAAAATAAAACACAATGAAGAAAATCATATGCCTGTAACTAGTGAGTTCTTGGGAAAATAGTTTATGTAATTATGTTATCTCTGATATAGATCACCTAAGTTTTGCCCATTCTAGAATATCTTATTGTTTTTGTAGGTTTTTGAAGCAAACAAATATATGGTTAGCCATGTCAGTTATCTTTCTTTGCAAACTTATTGATATCCCCTACAGGACAGTGGAAGTTTGTCAGTAACATTAGAATACTAAGTCATTTTGTACTTAAAAGTAGGAATGGAGTTTTTAGGATAAAAATATTTTCTGCTTTTCTCAATTATGGCAACTCATGATTTCTTGTTAAAAAAAAAGCAGCTAGTTTGTAAATATTATATGCTTTTAAATTTTACTTTATTTGAAAAATAAATATGAATTTGATTGTGATAACTTCCTTCGTGGTAAATATGTAAAAACAGGTACTCTCTTAAATCCTTATAAAGTGATCTTTATTATTTTTTTGGAGGGGGGTTACTGGGGATTGAATTCAGGGACACTGAACCACTGAGCCACAACCCCAACCCTATTTTGTATTTTATTTAGAGGCAGGGTCTCACTGAGTTCCTTAGTGCCTTGCTATTGCTGAGGCTGGCTTTGAACCCGAAATCTTCCTGCCTCAGCCTCCCAAGCTGCTGGGATTAAAGGTGTGTACCACTGCACCTGGCTCATTATTCTGATATTTTCAGGCCAATGTCATTTTTATTCAGTGCTGTTAATATATATTTATATAAATTCTCTGCAGATTTTTGATATAAGATTGAAATTTTTAAAAATAGCTTCTTTGTCTTTGTAAGGTTAAATCTTTGTTCCAACAGTGTTCCAACTATGTCTTTAAGTGGACTGTTTTTTTTTTATTAGCTACACATGCCATTACAATTATCTTGGCAATTCATACATTTGAATCATTGGGGTATAATTTCTCATTTTTCTAATTTTACAGATTGCAGAATCACACTAGTCATAGAGTAAGTGGACTGTTTTATGAAAAATATTATGGTTAAATAAAAGTCTGTGGAACCATTGTAGTTGAAGTAGAGATAAGGATCAGAACCTGAGAACATTCAGGAGCCCATAGATCATAGTTGAAAAATCATATTCCAATTCTTGCATTTTTAGATGCTTGAGCAAAATATGCCAGATTCACAAAGTTAAGGGTCATTTTTTCCCCATATGTGGAAGCTAGAGAGAATAAAAGGAAAAAGAGAGATCATGGAAATAGAAGGGAGACTAGTATGGTAAGAAGGGGATGAAGGTGAGGGAGAAAGGAAGGTACTGGGGAATTAAATTGATCAAAATATGTGTATGTACAGATATATTACAACGAAACCCACTATTCCATATAATATTATGCTCCACGATATTCATTTTTTATGAATGGTGTATATCAGATAAATTCCCCAAAATGCTTCTGAAGTTGCTAACTAATATTTTACTTTTATAACAGTTTTCATTGTGTGATACATTACTTGGAATAAGAAAAAATATATCATATTATCAAAGCACTAATGATCCTGTGTCCAATTCTGTGGTTTGAGAATCACTCATATTTGTTTTTTCTTTAATTATTTCTTAAATACATCTTTAAGGCATTTCCATTTATATTTATTAAAGGGGCAAGGAAAGTGGGTGACACTTAAATGAAGACATTTAAATACTAATTGCAGGGCCAGGACAAGGGTACAGAATTTAAGGAAGCACCTCACTGACTTCATCTTAGGAGCTTTGACTTATTGAAATGCATTGACAATAAGTGTTATGGAAAGCAGTTTGAGATCCAGTGTTCTATAGAGTTAAATTTAACAGAATATGTGGCAGGCTTGTTTTTTATGCATAAATAGCCTGCAACTCTTAATTTTTAAATCAAAAGGTCTGGTTGGGACTGAATCTACATTTCTGATAATATGCAAATGGTACTTATTCTACTAGTTCAGAAACTTCATTAAAATCACTGGTGTAGACCGTACTCTTTGGATTAGTTAAGAGCTTAATTATATAGTTGTCCCTTGGTGTCATTTCAGAATTGGTTCCAGTACCTCCCTTACCCTCAGGATACCAAACTCCATCCATGCTCAAGTCCTTATATAACATACCATAGTATGTGTATATAACCAACATATATCCTCCCTTATATTTTAAATCATCTCTAAATTCCTTATAGTACTTAATACGATATAAATAGTTATAATACTATATTGTTCAGAAAGCAACTACAAGGAAAAGGTCTGTACAGGTGCAGTTTTTTCAATTATTTTTTACCCATGGTAATTTACTCCACAGATGAAGAATCCATGAATACAGAGGGCCAATTATACTTTTTAGTTGCTACATATAATGGATATAGTAGAACCTGATGGCAGTTTTACTTATTAAAACAAGAATTGAGACATAATAAAAAAAAGTTTTCTAACAGAATCAACAAAAAGTAAAAGTTTAAACTGTGAAGGATAGTTTCAAAATACAGTCTATAAAATTCATACCAAATATGATTTTAATAATTTTGAGAGGCGTCTCACTATATTGGCCAGGCTGTCCTTGAATTTTCATTCTCCTTCTTCAGTCTCCCAGTTCTCTGGGATTACAGTTACTGCACCTGACTAAAATTATTAATTTTATGAATTTCATAAAAAGTCAGATTACTTAAGACAATATTTTTCCAATTTCTCATAGTAGAATCCCTGAGAAGAACCTAGTTCCATAATTATTTGAGTATAAAATTCATGTTATGTGTGAAATTTAAAAATCAATACTATATTTATCAATGTAATTTATACATTTTGGATTCCGTAACATGGTGGACTGAGCTAATTAACATGAATCCTCCAATCTTCAGCACTGAATACACATAAAAATAATGGATGAAATATAGCAACAAAAACATTAAATGCCTAGATGTATATATTCAAAAGATAGAAAAGGTCTTACTAAATGCATGAGCATCAGAGAGAGCTTAAAGCCTCTATGTAAAGTTTCTGGAGGGTGTGACAACTCCAGGGGATATCAGGAAAGACATAAACCCAAAGCCCCAGATTGTCTCTGTCTTGGGCCTTGGGTCTTAGACACAGGAGCTGAAACTTAAGATGCTTGGGTATAGTTAGGACCCTGGAAGTGGCCATCCTTTTAAATAAAAAGGGAACAAATAGCTCATTGGTGAAAAGAGGGTTTCTTTCCACAGATGCCAGTCAGAAGAAACACAAGCTTCCTTAGGAAATAGTAACCCCACACCCTGAAGCACAGTTAGATTTGTAGTTGTAGTTTGAATTTAGATATTGAATTTAGTGTGAAAATCTCAAAAAGTGTAAGTTAATGTAAAAATGTTCTGGACAGATGAAACTCCTGGGGTACCTTGTAGAAGCAAATATACTGCCATATGTGATACTTTGTAACAGAATAAATCCCTACAGGAGATAATTCATAAGCAGAAACTATAAATTTTATGATACATCACAAAGAAAAGTCAAGTTATAGAACTATTGGAAATAGTTGAAAAGAGAATTAGTAAATAGAAATTTAGAGTTAACCTGGAAAGAGAAGAGGAATCATTAGTGTAGAGGGACAGGTCCAGGGAGAGAGAAGAGGGAAGGGAGAAGGGAAGTATTGGAGAATGAAATCCACCAAATTGTGCATGTGCATATACATATACAAATATGTCACAGCAAATTCCATTATTATATAATAATAATTCACTAATAACAAGTTAAAAAGAGA